GTATTTTAAAGATACTTGTTAAATTAACAAAATCTTTTTTTAAAATGTTATATTTTAGTTTTATTATTTTTCTAATAATAGATTTTGTTTTAATTAAAAGGAAACAATGGCAAAAAAAATTAAAGAAAAATATTGAGACAAGAAATTTGCTCATGCCACCAAAAAAAAAAAATAAAGATAAACAATGCTGTGAAATTTTGGGCAGCAGTTTGTTTATGTGGCATTACACGGTAACTTACATGGTGCCACGTGATTAGAAACTGAAACTTCCGTCCAGATGGTTAATGGTGTTGGGGTCAACGAAAATGAAATAATTTTGAAAGTTAATAGATGAGTTTGAAAAAAAATAAAATATTTAAATTAAAATTAAAAATAATAATAATTAATAATTAATTTATTAAATAAAGCCGTTTAGCTTCATTAAGGCCAAAGTCATTGAAGAAAATTACTTGATTAGTAGCTTCCCTAATCAGTTTCCTTATCTCACGGGAAAATTGACGTAAAAGATTTACTTTAAAATAAAAAAAAAAAAATCAACTTTCACATCATTGAAGCAATAAAAATCTTTTCTGTCAAATTTGTACCCTAGATAAGAGCAGTCCAGAGATGAATTCTACGAAGCCATCATCAAAGTGACTTTTAAGGATATTTAAGAGTTTAAATTTTAAAATTCCCTCATTTTAATTTTAATAAATTTAATTTTTTATTTAATAAAATAAAATATAATAATTTATTAATAAAATTTGATATTTATTTTTAATAAAATAATATTATACTTAAATAAAATTATTTATATAATATATATTATAATTATTTTTTTAAATAAGAGTAAAATAAAATAAATACATTGAATAATATATATATATTTTTTTGAACATTTTGTTATAGGGTCGGCTCAAACCGTTATCCTGTAAGAGGAGGATATGAATCTTATAAGCGTGGTTAGAACCACTTGACCCTTCAGGTCAGGTTCCATTGAATAATATCTTAAAAAATTAGATAATTAAATTTAAATATTTTAAATTAAAAACTAGGTTAATTAAAATTGAAGATAAAATCGGAGTACTAGATGTTTCAAATTTAAATTTTGTGATAAGTGAAGGGGATAAGTGAAGGGGAAAGGAGAGATTATATTTTATTGTCATTCGTGATACTATTTCATTCATTTCATAATAAATATAGTTTTTTTAATTTCAATTTATTATTATTGTTTTTTATATTTGATTATGTGTTGTATAAAATGGGATAGTGGTCATTTATTTTCAAATTTTTATCCACCGACTTAAGATTGAATTTGAAATTTTTAGGTTGGAGTTTCAATCTTTTAACTATTAAACCATCCTATTGGGGTTGGTTTATTTTAAATTAACTTTTATTTTTTTATTTTTTAAGATAAACAAATATTCTTTTTCTACTTTAATTTTGTTATTATCAATTTATATTGATTAATTATTTTATCACAAAATAAAAAAATCATTATTTATCTTTCAAGAAAAAATTACATATTAACCTTGATTCTCAGAATAAATCGGAGTTCAAATCTTAAATCATGTCATTTTATTTAATTA